CAGCAATCCGTTGCAAGTCAGGCTATAAGATAGTCGATGTAGCAACACTCTCTTGTAGCAGCAGGCTATAAGATAGTCGATGTAGCAACACTTAAGCATGTTTTAAAAATGTTTTTTAAAAAAACAAAAACAAAAAAAACACTAACAAAAAAAACTATCTAGTCATTATTATTGCGGTTTTTTTAAAAAACAATAAAATTTAATGTACTTCTGCATTAATTTAATTGCTTTGACATTTCGACATCAATAAAATGCAGCTTAAGAGACAAGGTAAAAAAAATTGTTGTCGAAAGAGACTTTTTTTACCATAAAAGTCTCTTTTGACTACACTATATGTATATATATATGTATATATATATATATATATATATATATATATATATATATATATATATATATTATATATATATATATATATATATATATATATATGTATGCATATATAAATATATATATTTATATATATATATATATATATATATATATATATATATATATAATATATATATATATATATATATATATGTATGTATGTATATATAAATGTATACATATATATATATATATATATATATACATATATATATATATATATATATATATATATATATATATATATATATATATATATATATATATATATATATATATATATATATATAATATATATATATGTATATATATATATATATATATATATATATATATATATATATATATATATATATATATATATATATATATATATATTTATAAATCAATTAATTTTTATTTTTTCTGTAGAGTTCTTTGTTGGTAATATAATCACACCATTAGTTAAGGGGAAGGTTGTTGCTATAATACCAAAACTAGCTAAAGAATTTTTAATTTCATTTGATGTTTATCCTAATAACTTTGCTAAAAGTTTTCAGAGCGTTATTCATTTTATTATGGATGGTCAAGATAGTAAAACTGGTGTTCCTGGCATCTGGCTTAATGAAGATGGTAAAGGAGGGCTCTACATTTCAGCCTTAATCAATGGAAACCTCTACTCATCCTTTATCACAAATCCTATTCAGTTAGCTGCGTGGACAAACGTTGAAATATATCAAACTTCAAAAGGATCATTTTATCAATTTACAATTAAAATTAATGGAGAAATTATTGTTTATGATATTGTTAAAGAAATTGAAAATTTAGAAAATGTTATTGTGTATGCTTCTAATCCATGGTCAGTTCAAAATGGTTCAATAAAAAGTTTTTTTATTGTCAATGGTAATGGTAAGTAAGTTTTTTATTGAAATTTATTAAATAAATTTTTTTTTTATTATTGATATTATTTATTTATTCCTCTAGAAACGTTTTGTTTATTACGTTTTAGAGCATTTACACTTTTTAAAAAACTAAAGGTTATACAATATTTACAGTTATTTATAATTAAAAAGAGATAATAAATTTAAATTTAAAAACTTTATTTTTTAAAGCTTTATAAATAAAGTTCTTTATTTTTTAAGCTTTAAGGAATAAAGAACTTATATTTTCGTAAAAATCAGTAATTAAAACTGGCCTCACGAAAATATGGTAGAATCTATGGGAATAGAGTTATGAGGAAATGATAAATGGAAAATTGTAAATATCTATAAGCCTCCATTTGGTAATGAGAAAGAGAAACTGAACTTAATTGAAAAAATTTTTTATGTAAACAATAGTATCAACACAATATTTTGTGGTGATTTCAACATCAACTTTCTTAACTCAATAACCTCTCTAGATTATGTTAATATCTTAAAAGAGTCATTAATATTAATAATATACCTCATTAATGTAATCAATGGCCTGAATAGATTAGTATCTAGTACATCACTTGATCATGTTTTAATTAGTAGGAGTCAATCTAATACTACAGCTGAATTTCATGATTACGTCATAACTGATCATCAAATTGTTTTCACAGTATACAACTACTTTATTAGGAAAATAATACAGCAGAAATTTAGGAAACTAAACAGAGAATCTTATAATACAATAAAATCAAAAATGGACAATTACTTTACAATGGTAGCCTTGATCTAAGTTACAAAAAATTTATTAACAAAGTTCAGATTGAATTAGACAATGCAGCGCCAGAAAAAAGGTGAGTTAACTGTGAGGAACTGGCAATTTTTACCAAAACACCAATGGATGATCAGAGAATTGCTCAATTAAGAAAGATTATAACAAATTTAGGTTCAAATGTGAAAGAGAAAGAGATGATTTAAAGCTTGTTTTACTGTTCCCTAAAATAAATATAAAAAATAAGTATAAAAAAGATATCCATAGCCAAAAAAATAAATTCTTTAGGCAACAGCTAATACATTGTAAAAGGAACAGTAAGAAAACTTGGATTTTTCTAAGCAATGTCCTTTATAGATCTATGGTATGTTACTAAAGGTGATTATTCAATAAAAATTGAAAAAAAGTTATGTTTGATTAAATAGGAACAGGAAATAGCGAACTTGTTAATAGATCACTATACTGATGCTTTGCATGAGCTCAGACCAAGCAACTTTAACCTCCTAAATTATTCCAAATATCTTCCATTTCACAATGTTAATTGGGATTTAAAGTCAGTATCTATTGAATCAATTACAAATAATTTTAACAGTTTTGCTCCAAAAAGTAGTTTTGATCTAATAAGTAATAAGTTTATTAAACATTATCAGGTTGCACTCGTTTTTAACAAAAATGAATAATTATTCTATTAGTACTGGATGCTTTCCACAAGAATTAAAACTAGCTATGATAAAGCCTGTTTATAAAAAAGGAAATATTACTGTTATGGAGAATTTTAGGCAAGTATATTACCAGCATTATCAAAAATATTTGAAAAAGCTGTTATTTATCAAATTGAGAAAAATCTTGATGATAATAAAATTATTCCGATTATTCAATTTGGCTTCAAAATGGGATGCGATGCAATACATACTAATTTAAAAAGTTTCAATATGATAACTGACTATAGAAACCAAAATAAAATTATTTCAGTCATTTTACTTGATGTAAAAAAGGCTTTTGATCTCTGTGCCCATAGCATTATTTACAACAAGCTCAAAAACATTGGTGCTGGTGAAAAAACTTTAAAATAAATCTCTTTGTATTTAACAAACAGAAGGCAGTTTGTTGTTATTGGAAGTTCTTCATTGAAAGAAAGAGTAGTAAAGTTGGATGTTGGTCAAGGAACATGTATGGGTCCATTACTTTTCAAAATTTATATTTATGTCTTACCAGGTGAAATAGAATTAGACACCATCTTTTTTGCTGATGATACAACAATGATTGCAAAAAAAAAATTATGCAACTTAAATGTTTACAAAATAAAGCTCTACAGATTATTGGTCCCAATAAGGTACACACAAAACCAATCCTAAAAAAATGGAGTGTTATTGTTAGATCAAGAGTATCAAATGGCTATTAAAATTCAAGCATGAAAGATATGTGTAGGATTAGCACTATTATCTTAATTAATGATTTTAGATGGCAATTAGGTTGACATTGATAAATCTTTAAGAGTTAACAGAAGAATAGCCTTTCCTAACTTTAAGAGTAGCGTGTTGGCAAATTAAGCCATTGCAATTGAAACTAATTGATTGAAAGATGCGGATCTGCTTTAAAGTGCAAAAACGTTCAAGAAACAAACAAACAAAAACCCTTTGTGCTCTCAATAAGGCTTCAAAATGTCACATTATTGGTTGTGCTGAATGTCAATTGTAAAATTTTTTTTCATTTTTTCAAGACAATATATTGACTGTAAAAATTAAGGAATACGAAAGAACACCTTTAGGGGATAAGACCTAATAAAACACCTTTTATTAAATATTATCCCCTTTCATTTTTCAATTTAAAATTACCATTTTATTGTAAATTTATATAATACTGAAAAAATTATTAAATAAATTCATAACAATAAAAACAATAAATTAAAAGAATTATTTGTATCAGATTTTTGGAAAAGAAGTTTTTAAAAAGAAAATGTAAACAATTTTATATTAAAATTGTTTACACATAACTTAATAGCTGATCAATCAAAATTCAGATTTTATCAACATTGAATTTACTAAGAGCTTTTATAATTTTATATTAATTTAATATTATAAGAAACTGAAAGTATTATTTTATACTTAATTTTATATAAATTGAGTTTATGAGTTACTAGAAAACAACAATAAAAAAGTACAATACCAAGCAACTAAATTGTTTCATTTAAAGAATGTGGCTTAAAATGTCTAATTTTATTTGCCATTTAGTTAACAAATTCTTAATCATTTTCAGACAAATATCTTAAATTAAACTCATGACAAAAAAAGGAAGAAAAGCTCCCATTCTTGTCTGAATCCATGAGATATAAAGGTGGCACAACTTTTAGTTGATATGAAAGATATCAACCTAAAAACAATCACAAAGAAAATCAAAAAAAGATTTAATTCCTACCATAGGCCTGTGATTCAAAATGACAACAAGTTGATGACAAGTTGATGACAAGTTGATGACAAGTTGATGACAAGTTGATGACAAGTTGATGACAAGTTGATGACAAGTTGATGACAAGTTGATGACAAGTTGATGACAAGTTGATGACAAGTTGATGACAAGTTAATGACAAGTTGATGACAACAGTTTTAAGAAGTTATTTGGTGTAGAAGTTAAGATGAAATTTTCGACGAAATTAACGTGAACAACCAAAAAAAGTACAAGAAGAAAATGAACACAAGCTGGGTAAGTGATAAAATGCAAATTATAGAGTGAAGCAAAGTAATTTTTTCTGGAAAATGAGAGGAATATGCGGCATTTTTTTTTTATTTTTTTTTTGTGGCGACATAACCATGACAGTCGCAATAAAAAATTCAGTGCTTAAAAACAATAAATGTAACAACACGACCAATGACTTAAAAAAAAAAGCATAAATAATTATTAACAACCATGTATATTATGTTAAAAAAATGCAATATAACATTATCAAAGTTTTCAATTATTTTATAACTAATTACACAGCAGGACTGTAAATCAGCATCAAAACACTTTTATATAAACCTTATAACTTTAAAACCATGCTATGGTATGATAAAATGATTTTTTTAAATAATTTTTTTGCTTAAAGCTATTTTAAAATATTAAAAAAAAACGAGTTTTGTTACTTAGTTTGTGTTTTCATAATTTTTATGCTTTTTTTTCTTTTCTTTTTTGCTGTATTGCCCATATATATATATAAATGTATATATATATATATATATATATATATATATATATATATATATATATATATATATATATATATATATATATATATATATATATATATATATATATATATATATATATATATATATATATATATATATATACATATATATATATATATATATATATATATATATATATATATATATATATATATATATATATATATATATATATATATATATATATATATATATATATATATATATAGCATAACAAATTAAAACAAATTGTAACAAATAAGAAAAACTTGTAACAAACTGTTACAAGTTTTTTCTATCTTTTTAGTATATGGCATTTTCGGAAAAAAGTTAAATAATAACAAAAGAAAAGATTGCTCCAAACCCTCAGTTGATGTAGTGGCACTATACAAAGGAGTGCCACTATAGTATAAATATATATATATATATATATATATATATATATATATATATATATATATATATATATATATATATATATATATATATGTATATATATATATATATACATACATATATATGTATATACATATATATATATATATATATATATATATATATATATATATATATATATATATATATATATATATATATATATATATATATATAATATATATTCATATATATATATGTATAAATATATATATATATATATATATATATATATATATATATATATATATATATATATATATATATATATAGTATATATATATATATATATATATATATATTATATATATTCATATATATATACACGTATAAATATATATATATATATATATTATATATATTCATATATATATACATATAAATATATATATATATATACATATATATATATATATATATATATATATATATATATATATATATATATATATATATATATATATATATATATATATATATATATATATATATATATATATACATACTGTACTGTGAATATGTTTTAGACCACTTATATAATTAGTTGTATTTTCAATTTTTTTCCTGTGTATTTTTTTTTTTTAAGCACACTTAAGTTGAGTAATATTTGAGAAAGGTTGAAAGAATATATTATCTTAAATAAATAAACAAAAATTTATGAGGAACACGAGGGATATGTTTGTTTATTTATTAAAACGATAATTGTCATAATAACTGCAGACCAAGCGTTCATCTAAATAATACATAAAAATAAAATTTTCGATTTTTTTCTTACTGGTTCAGGTTCATATTCGTTCATTTAAGTTTTTAACAGTATAAAATGTAGTCTTAGAGTGAATTTAATACAATAATAACCGGTTTTGGTACATTTTTTAAAAAGTTGTTATTTTTTATGAATACAGTTAAACAAATAGTTAAAAATAATTAAATAAAGTTATTAGTTTACATTTTTAGATTAATTAAGTGTTGCTATGGGTAAAATATCTTTAATAGAGAGACAGAAAGTTATTGTGCTTCACGAAGAAGGTTATTCACAGCGCCAAATTTCTTCCAAAACAGGATATTCGAAGACTACTATTAGAGAAATCATTAAAAAGTTTAGAGAAACTGGCTCCCTTGGAAATAGAAAGAAAAGTGGCAGACCTCCTAAGCTAACAAAAGATGACAATAAATATTTAAAAACCCTTTTTTTAAGAAACAGGAAAAAAACATCCACCGAATTGGCAAAGGACATTAATACAGCAACTGGGAAAAATGTTAGCTCTTCTTGTATTCGACGACACCTACTCAAATCAGGATTACGAGGCTGCGTTGCTATTCGAAACCTTTATTACGGCGTGGCAATAGAGAAAAACGACTTAAGTATGCAAAACAACACAAAGATTGGACCCAGGAAATGTTTAATCGGGTTCTGTACACTGATGAGTCCAAATTTGAAATTTTTGGAACGAAAAGACGTCAATATGTTCAAAGAAGAATAGGAGAAGCCTATCAGCCCGAGTGTTTAAACCCTACTATAAAACACGGAGGAGGGTCTTTACAAGTTTGGGGCTGTTTATCTTCATCTGGGGTAGGTGATCTGATCAAAATAGAGGGACGACTCATGGGGAACGTTATGTGGATATTCTAAGACAGCATGCTTTACCAACCGGAATGAGACTAATGGGCGATAATTTTATTCTGCAGCAGGACAATGACCCAAAACATTGTTCCCGAGTGGCAAAATATTATTTAAATGAAATGGCAGAAGAAGGAATACTGGAAATGATGACCTGGCCTCCCCAGAGTCCAGATTTGAATATAATCGAGCATATTTGGGATTACTTGGACAGGAAAAAGGTCAAACATGCTCCCCGAAATGCTGAAGAATATTTTCAACTACTTCAAAGAGAATGGCACAACATACCGCAGGATTTTATAACAAATTTGTATGAATCTATTTCCCGGCGAATATCAGCTGTGATTAAGGCAAAAGGAGGACATAGTAAATATTAAGGGTTTTTTTATGAAGTGTGACATTAAAAAGTTTGTTATTGTTCTAAATTTTGTGTGAAATATATGTGTTTTAACAATTTTATAATATAGAATTCGAAACTTAAATATTAAGGAAGAATTCTCTTGGATTTTTTGAGAAAATGTAAGTGGTCTAAAACATATTCACAGTACTGTATATATATATATATATATATATATATATATATATATATATATATATATATATATATATATATATATATATATATATATATATATATATATATATATATATATATATATATATATATATATATATATATATATATATACATATACATATATATATATATATATATATATATATATATATATATATATATATATATATATATATATATATATATATATATATATATATATATATATATATTTATATATAGTTTTCTTATGGTTTCCATGATAATATATTCTGGTTTGAATCTCTCACTTTTTTCTTCACATAACTTAATAGCTGATCAATCAAAATTCAGATTTTATCAACATTGAATTTACTAAGAGCAATTTAATTGTCAGTTAATATTAATTAAATCATAAAAATAATATTATTTGAGTTTTTTCGATTTGAAATAATAAGAAAGTATTTTTTAATAAAAAAGTATAATATTAATTTAATGAATTTAATTTTATGTTGTAGTAATTTTATTTGTAAAATTATTATAACATTAATTTATACTATTTTATATTTTTAGATAGTAGAATAGAGCATATTGTTCTCCAACCTAACACTTCAAGTAAAACAGGTAAACTAGATGTTTTTTGCATTATCATAATTTATGATAATTTATTCTTGCATTATCATAATTTATTAGATTAAAATTGTTACAATAATTGTTAATAAACATAATTTTTTTCTTTCTTTTATCTTTTATTCACAAATATATATTCAAGAGCAAAAACTATAGAATGCAATTAATGACAAGGTCCTATTATACATTATCCTTTTCAACACAAAAAGGCAATTTGTATGGCCTTTAAGCTAAGACAAAAAATAAAAAATGTTTTCCTTTTTATTTCCGAAATTGAGTGTTACAGACTGCTGACTGGATTTTTATGACAGGTGTAAATACCTTTGTATACCATAAATACCTTGGTCATATTTTGAAAAACGATCTATGAGGAGATATGATAATAAAAACAAAGATAAAGCCTAGTTAAAGTAAAATTATTCCAATTGTATTGCATATGCCTATCATATTATTGCTGTGGAACAGTTTTAATACTAGAATGCTATCACATCTAGAATTTTGTTATAATAAATGTGAAAAAAAACTTTTATATACAAAAGTTTTTTGGATATAAAAGTTATTTCAGCCTCACTCTGATGTTTTTAGAATTCAGGTCTCCAATTTTTGGTACTATATTGTCTAACTGCAGCATCAATTTAAAGAAACAGCTTGTTTAGTGTGCTAGTGAAAGTTCACTGTTGGTTTGGTTAACAGAATATTAAGGCATTCCAAAATGATAGGTTGTTGTGGATAGCTGTATCTATACTTTATTCTATCTATGGATTTTGTGCCTATTTATATGTAATTATGTTTGAATTCAATGGATAGTGTCCCTGTTAATGGTTTTGGTGCGCATTGTTAACACCACATAAAGAATCTAAATTTATGACTTGATGGATAATTAGCAGAACTGAGACAACTGCATAGCTCATTGCTTAATATGCCATGCTCTATATATGAATGAGTCAAGTTCTCTTTAAACTCATAACTTTTCCAAAGTAACCCAAATTATTAGGCATAAAAAACCATACCCACCATCTAACTATTTCAATAAATCTTTCACAAATTCTTATAGTCTGCAAAGTAACTTTCCATTATTTGATACTTACCACTCGCAAAATTCTCCAGACTTGTTTGCTTTTTATTAGAGTTGTTTAAATTTTGCTGTTCCTTCATTAGATCTCAGTGTTGATAATTACTATCTTTTGATTCACAAAGGCTCTAACAGTCAAATTCTTAACATGGAGTATACTTATGTATCAATTCACTTATTTGTTGTGAAATCAGGTTCGAATCCTCAACTACTCTTTTATGGGCTTCTGCTTAATCTTTTATTCGCTTTACCTTAGCACCTCTTCACTCTATCACCTTTCTCTTCACTCTATCACCTTTCTCTTTGTTCTTTATCGCTTTCCTTCTTCTCAAGGCTGCACTCTTTATTTAAAAGAGAGGTCAGAAGTTACATTTGTAATTTCTGATCAAATTGACCATGCTCTTTCTCTTCACACCTATATTATTGTTATGATAGACTTTGATGCTCACCCCACTGAATGGCTTGGCTCTAACACCACTGACTCTGCTATCATCAAAGCCCATAACTTCTGCATTTCTTAATCGCTTACTCAGATAGTTAACTTTAAGATTCGTTTTCCAGACAACCTTAATTACTTACTTTCACTCATTAATTTGTGTCTTTTCTCTGACTTATGTTCAGTTTCTCCTTTTTCTCCTTTAAGTAGTTTCGACCATGCAATGGTCTCTATAAATCTTTTATCTTGCACTTCTTCTTCTGACTCATCCTATCATTGCACTATTTACTAGTACCCTAAAACTGACTGATATTCTTTTTGTGATTTTCTCAGTGACAGCCCTAAGGCTGATGTCTCTCTGCTGAGAGACATCAGCCTTACGCCTAATACATAACCTCCTGGGCTCAGGAACAAATTAATGCTTTTTTTCCTTCTTGACTTTTTTTCCTTCACAAAATTCCTTTTATAGTCTTTAGGTGTTCTTCAGAATTCTCTTTAATTCTCTCTATACAATTTAATAAGTGCTTGAGTGAGTCTTGTTTTCCTGCCTGCTGAAAAATGGCATCTGTTGGTCCATTTTTTAAAAATTCTGGAGAACCTTTAAACTCCTCTAACTGTTGTCCAATCAGTCTTCTATCTGCTATTAGCATCGTTTTTGATCAACAAATTTCTAACATCCCATCTTGAGTAAAAAAAATTAATGTCAGCCAATCAATACGGTTGTCCATCCTCTTAATCTATGGTTGACTTGCTAACTGATGTGACTGAAAGATTTTATTGTGTGTTAGATGGAGGCAGCAAGGCTAGGGCTATGGCTCATGATATGTATAAAATTTTTGGCAAAAATTAGCATCTGGTCTTCTTCATAAGCTTGTTTCATATGGTGTATCTGGGAAAGTTATTGAGATTATCAAATTGCTATGTTCTAACTGGTCTTATTAAAATTATCCTCGAAGGCCAACACTCTTCTTCATCTCCAGTAACTTCTGAGATACCTCAAACTTTTGATCTTGTTTCGTTTCTTATCTACATTAATAATCTTCCTGACAACATTACATCTAAAGTAGCTCTTTTTGCTGATGACTCAATTTTATACTCCTGTCTTGACAAAAAAAAACTTTATACTCCTGTTTTTTCAATTGCTAAGAACAGGCAACCAATCTTGAATCTGATTTCAATTTTGTAACAGATTGGGGCTTGAAGTAGCTTGTAATTTTTAATCCCAACAAAACTAAGTTATTTACTGCAAACAACTTTAGCAATAATGTCAATATTCCTTTATTAATGAATGGCAACCTATCACTGAGTCCACATTTTTACTTCTTATTGTCTTATTTATTATTATCTTACTGATCTCTTATGGAAATCATATATAAAAGCGATTTCTATGTTAGGATTTGCTTCTTTCTTATTCTATTTTATACCTCTACAAATCTCTTTTTTGCCCAAGTATGGAATACTGTTGTCTATCCAAGCTTAAGCCTCTTTCCTACTGTAAGGTTGTGTCTCTCTCTTTTCTACAAATATTATCATAGCTGCTACTCAAAGAAGCTATTATCTCAAGTTCTATCAACCAAAACTTTTTTTTGTCTAACTTGTAATTTGGCGAAGTCATCTTTTTATTGTATTTTGCATGCCCTGAAAACTTTTACTTTTACTGTTTTTTTCTCTGCAATTCAACCCTTTTAAAATCTCTTCCATTTTCAAGTTTTTCTGACTCATACAACCTATAACTTTCTAAGTGTTCTGTCAACAGTTTCCTTGCTCTTTAACTCTATGCTTTGTTTTCTAATAACACCCAACTAAATAATGGGTAAATACTGTTGCTTGCAGCCTTGTTTAGAGTAAAACAGAAAAAAAATAAATAAAAAAAATAACAGTTCATTTTATTTTGACTATATTGATTGGTTGTTCACTGAGTTATCATTTTAAAGCTTGCTGTTTGGGAACATGTCTAAAAAATAATATTCAAAAAAAATACATTAATAAAAATAAAAAAAGTATATATCAATGTATATAGAAAATAGTAATAATAATAAAAATAACATTTGTTGTTATTTAAAGTTTTGAGCAGTTTTATGTTGTTTTTTTTTTAATTTTGAAAGAAATTATTTTGGAAGGTTGAATATCATTTTTGATTTCATTAATCATTGATTATGAAATTTAAAAACTTCAATTTTTTTTTATACAAAACAAATTTACAATTTTTTTGAATCATTATGCAAATATTCACAAAGTCAAATCATTATGCAAATATTCACAAAGTCATATTCAAAATATTCACAAAGGTACAAAAAGATCTTAAGAGGTTTTATTTGTAGATGTAGATGTAGATGTAGATGTAGATGTAGATGTAGATGTAGATGAAGATGTAGATGTAGATGTAGATGTAGATGTAGATGTTTCAGATCTTAATAAAAGTTTTAGCAAACTATTGAAACCACTTGCTCTGAATGATGTAAAATATTCAATTGCATTCGATCTAAAATGTGGTAACTCTTTATTTGGTTCAAGTAGCCACAGTGGCAAGTATGCTTGTCACTGGTGAAGAAGAAAGTACTGTTTAGAGTTGCAAAATTAAGTTCAAGTGATATCAAATACAACAAGTGTATTGCAGATGGATGCAAAAATAATTGGATGAAGGAATTTAAAAACTGTATTTTTCCTCAAATAGTATATGTTAATGAACATTTAAAAACTATATCTTACCCTCATCCAGAATTACATATTTTTATTGGTAACACTCATATGTTTGTAAAAGTATTAATTACTTTGTTGCTTGATTTTGATACATGGCTTAAAACAAACTATATTATGTTTAGAATGGAACAGGTTTGGACGGTAAAAATTCAAAAATAAATTCAAGATTTAAAAATAATTATTTAAGATTTAAAAATAAAATGTTAAGTAGAGCCTCTATGCAACCAAATATGATATTTACAACCTCTTGTAATGATTATAACTGTTTTTATAATAAAAATATGTTTAAAAGTTAGTTTAGGTTAACAAATTTTTAAAACATTTTACGAAACCTAGAAATAATAATTAAACAAAAAAAATTCGGTCAAAATAAAATTTACCCTGACTTACTAAAAGGAGAACACTGAGTCTAACTAATTGTCAGTCAATGTAGCAGCACTCCTCTCATGTTCTACCTAATTGTCAGTTTGTACACTCCTTGTATGTTCTACCTATTTCAGTCAATGTATGTTCACTTTTCTCATATTCTAACTGTTTTATTCAATGTATGTACATGTAAAAAATATTAAAATAAAAAATAAATATGAAAATTTAAAACAGTATAAAAAAATAAAAAAACAAAAACACATTCTGCATTAAAAAAAAAAATTCAAGTCAAGTTTTTGCAGTAATTTAAAAAATGTTTCATTTGAAAGTTTCATGTTTTTTTTTTTAATCATTTTATACTGTTTTTATACCTTTGTTTATTAGCATTCAATTTAAAACAACAGCAATATATATATATATATATATATATATATATATATATATATATATATATATATATATATATATATATATATATATATATATATATATATATATATATATATATATATATATATATATATATATATATATATATATATATATATATATATATAAATATATATATATATAAATATATATATATATATATATATATATATATATATATATATATATATATATATATATATATATGTATGTATGTATATTCTATATTTTTGTTAACAATATTTTTGATGCAAAAAAAAAACAACCACTACTGAATACAAAAAATACTGAATTTCAAATTTTTTAATTTAAAAATAATACTTTTTAGATATAAAAATGCAATCCATTGGCAATCTTAAATCAGGTAGTTTAATCAAAACAATTTTTAAATTTAGGTTTTACTTAACTTAGCAACTATAAAAATTTTTCTTTAAAGTTTACATTTGTTTTTTAGTTTACATATATCTCTCAGTTTTTTTTTTTACCAAAACTCTGTTTTTAATTTATTTTTATGAAATTAAAATAATACTATACGTGACAATTTTATATTAAAGTTATTTAAATATGATTATTCTTGTAATGTTTTTTTTTGTTACTTTAGACAAATCATTGGTTATCATTGCTACTGTTATATTTTTGGTCATTGTTTTTTTTGTTGCTGTTTTTATTGTTGTGTTCAGAATTCTTAGGAAAAAAAAGAAATCTGAACAACCAAAGACGATAGAGTGAGTATGTTTAAATGATTATTGTTTATAACTAATGTGTTTTATTGCCACTTTTTATATAAAAATATTCATACCTTTACTTATATATACTTATTTACCAGAGAAGTTTTTATTTACTTATACTTTTTCAAAATTTTAAAGGTTTTGTTGAAAAATGTGTCAAGCAACTTGATACAAATTTAGTTAAAAATAGTACTTTGATAATTAAAAAAATTATTGTCAACATGAAACATTATATATATATATATATATATATATATATATATATATATATATATATATATATATATATATATATATATATATATAGAGAGAGAGAGAGAGAGAGAGAGATGTATATTATTAGGTACTTGAGAACACAGAAAAAGGATGAGACTTGATTGAATGGCGAGTAACACATGAATGAATTTTATTAGATGGCACAAGAGATGCTAGCTCTTTAGAGCAGTGCCCATTATAGCATTTGTAGAAAAGAAAGAGAAATAACATTAGGACAATGTGATAATGGTTGAAGTTTGGCTGCAAGAACAGGTCCAACATGTTTACAATGCGTTTTTGCACCTTGTTTAAAAGAGAAAGTGCATCATTATACGATCAGCCCTAGATATGGCAACAGTATTCCATACAAGGATGGATTTGAGATAAAGAATAGAATCCAGAGTGAGAAAGTGTCAAGCACAATAAAGAGATGCAACTTTAGCAAAAGCTAATTTTGCAATGGATTTGATATATGGTTTCCAAGAACAATTGGAAGTAAGAGTTAATCATAGAAGATGAAGGGTAGATGACTCATCAAGTACATTACTATTCATAAATATAGGAAAATCTAAATTATTGCAATAATGATTGCCTGAAAAAAAAAATTTATCTGAATTAAAGTACACCAGCCACTGTGTGCCCCATGCTATAGCAGAAGTGAGATCTTTTTCAAGCTCGAATGCCCCCTTCATGCAATCAGAGAGTGTTAAGTATCATTTAATCTTATCAAGACAAAATTAAATGAAGTATCATCAGCAAACAATTCCAACTTAGATGTAAGAATTTCCAGGAGATAGTTAATATATATTTAAAAAAGTATAGGGCCAAGGATTAAACCTTGATGAACCCCGAAGTTACAGGATATGAAGAAGAAAGCTGCCCATCGAGGACAACTTTTATACAACGATTGGTAAGGATTATTTAATAATCTTAAAGATGCTACCTGATACACTGTAAGAAGAAAGCTTATATAGAAGACCAGCATGCCAAACTTTATCAAAAGCTTTAGAAATTTTAAGAGAAATAGCTTTATTCTCTTCACTTCTATCTAACGCACAATAAAACCTATTGGTTATTATTGTAAGTAAATCAGCTGTAGAACAAGAATATTGAAATCCATATTGATGATCAGAAAGTAAGTTATTAGATTTCAGATGAGAGATTAAGCGTTTGTTAATTAAAGTTTCAAAAACTTTGCTTATGATAGGAAGAAGACAAATTGGATGGTAATTAATTAAGTCAGATCACTCTCCAGAATTGTTGAAAATAGGGATAACAGATGACGCTTTCCAGCGAGCTGGAAAACAAAACTCTGATAAGCACTTGTTGAATAGTTTTAAAAGTATAGACGACAGATCCACAGAACACTTCTGAAAAAGAAAATACTATAATAACATATTATATACAGTTTTATTTATTATGTTATATATTATTTTGTTTATTTTTATTTTGTATTTTGATCTCAAAAGATCAGGTGTAAAGTAATGCTATGATAAAACTATTACAAAAATAACTATACAAAATACTTTATTGTTTATTTACTTTATTTAAAATAATTATTATTTAAAAAGAATTATACTTTATTGTTTTTTCTGACTTCCCCACATAAAAAAGATCCTCATTTTTTGACGTGCTTTTAGTTCAAAATAATAATAAATCATGTTTTATTTTGAGTGAGAGTACGTTTGCAACTTATTACACTTGCAACTAAATCGAAATTAAATACAAAAATTGGTAAAATCAAATACAATGCTCTGTCAAAAGTATTAAATTGCTGCTCTAAGTTAAAAGTTGCTGTAAAGTATGAATTACCAAACAACTTGTTACAAAGAACAACTTTTTTTTTTACCAAAGAACTTGTTTCGCCTGGTTGAGAAACAATAAAAAGCTACTAATATATAAGCTGAAATAGAATATACAATATTGATAGTTTTAAAAATGAATAATGCTTTGATGGAAAATCCAGTAAACTGTCTGTCAAGGTTGGTGATCTGCTTATGGAGAAAAAAAACCTAATGTTTGTCTCAAACCGAAATCGTCCTGCTGCTTTAAAAATGTAAACCACTTACCCTGTCATTATTGCATTTAGAAGAAAAATTTGATAGAACAATAATTGATATATTAAATGGTTTACAAAAGAAAAAAATTGTTTTAAATAATATAATTATATTAGATAATTTTAAACATCCAACAATTAAAAATCTATTATAAACAGAATCAATTTCTTCCATAAAACCCTATTTTAAAGCTCTAACTTATGAACCTAGACCTTATTAGGTCACTTATAGTCCATTATAGAATATTGTCTATTTAATAATTGACAGATAAAATTCAATTTTGAGGTTGTAAAATATGAAGATAGTTGATTTTTGATCAAACCCTCAATTATATTACATTGAAAATATTATGAAACTACGTTTCTATGAAAATGGGAAACCTTATCATAAGTGTATCAACCAAATGTATTCATAAGTAAATTGTAAAAAAAAAAAAAACAAACAAGTAAACATAACAGTAAAAAAAAACAGTAAACAAGTAAAAATAACTTCTTTTACTGAATCTTATTTTTATACTTTTTGATTAGTATAAGGGTGTTTAAGGGTGTTAATTAGGGTGTTTAAGGTTGTTAATTAGTCACCAGAAATTTTGGGCATTTGATTAAAATTGTTTAAGGTGGGGCCTTTATTTGACCACAAAACTATATTGTTTAAAATTTGAAAGTTGCAAGTCTTCCTGATTTTTATTTAATTTTTTTATATATAGTTTATTATAAAACATAAACTAGAGTGAGTTATAATTAATGAAAATGTATATCCATATTTTCATGTATATTGAAACATTTTTTAGGCATGATTGGGTTTTGTAAAAATGTTTAGTTTTACATAAAAGTCATATAATTAGATAAACTTATTTAATTAAAATACTTATAAAAAAACATGGTTTTAAATGTTGCAACTTACTTGGGTTTACATAGACAATTAACAAAAAAAAAACCTCAGATATTTCTTTTTTTAATTTTAAAAATATATTTATTTTTTAACTTGAAACCTTTAACTTATATCTGTACTTCTGCTGGAAAATAAGTAATAAAATTAAATAAATCACTGGAAATTTTTAGTTTTCTTTATGTTTTCTTACTTATAAAGTTTTTTTGTAATTCAACAAAAAAACTTTAAAGTAGTTTAAATTTATTTTAAATATTTCAAAGTTCCATAACTACTAATTAGTTTACTTTTATTATTTTCTTGTTCTTAATAAACTCCAGTTTGAAGCAACCTAATACCAAATTAATTTTATCTAGTGTATATGCTTAATACTTATATTTTAGAACTAATTAAATAAAAATTGCTTTTACATGACTAATATCAAAGTTTAAAAAGATTTAAAATTGATCAAGTTTATATATATATATATATATATATATATATATATATATATATATATATATATATATATATATATATATATATATATATATATATATATATATATATATATATATATATATATATATATATATATATATATATATATTATTGAATAATGAATTCTTGTGTTTTTTTTAATTCAAGATAAGTATTATAAATTAATAAATATATTATGTTAAATAATCAAAATTTAAATAAAAATAAGTTATTTATAATAATAAATATATATACAAATGTTAATAAATATTAAAGATGTAAGCATAAAATTGATTACTCTATTGAATTTTCAAGATAGAGGAACTAAGGTTATTTTTTAATAAATCAGTTTTATTAAAAAATATTCATGAATAGTTAATTAATAAAATAGTATTAACTTGTTTCAGGTCCGATATGGATTGTGATACTCTACCATTTGATGAATGGGAGGTTTTACCTGAAAATATAGTTTTAGATAAACAAATTGGTGAAGGGGCTTTTGGTACTGTATTTATTGCAAAAATGAACTCAAAAGTTCTTACTAAAAGAAAAAGTGATAAATATGAATTTTTATCTAATACTAAAGAAGAATCTTTTGTTAATGTTGCTGTGAAACTGCTTAAAGGTTTTTTATTTCTTTTTTCAGTTTTTGTTTAACGATGAAAATATGTTTATGTCACACAAAAACTGAACTATATTTTTTGAATTATTTTTTAAAAATACCTTATTGCAATTTTTCAGGTTTTAATACTTTTTTTTCAATATTTATTATTTATATTTGGTATTAAGCATTCAAAAAACTTTATGCTTAAGTTTGTAATTTTTTTAATTTTAACTATAACTTTAAAACATAATAAACTTGTTGTAACATTTCTGCAAAACATTAGGAATCTATATAAAAGAATCACAGAAGATTTAAGTTGTTTGTTTTTTTTTCATTTCTAATCATCTTATTGATTTAGTATTGACAATAATAATCACAAGCCTTAAAAGACAGACATTTTCAGACGCTTGTTTAGCTAAAACAGACATTTTTTACATTTTAAAACTATAGTAAAAATTTCGTGATTTCTTATTATTAGGCATCTTTTGTTAACCTCTTTTTTGTTGACAAATATTTGTTTCCTTGTTCATATTGTTGATAAATGTAATACATATTGCTAATAAGTGCAATGCAAATATCACAAATATCAAATAAATACTTTAAACCTTTGTTAATACCAAATACCAATTATACAATTATAACAAAATGGGCTTATTGTTTTTTTTTATTTATATTTTATAATTTATACCAAAATAGGCTTATTATTATTATTTTTTTTTAAATTCACGAAAAAAAATTAACCTTTTATTGTTGTTATATTTGATGCAGGTAATCTGTGGTGCTTGAATTAGACTGAGCAATGAAAGCCCACAGAGAAATATGAAACATTTTTATTAAAAAAACTTTTTATATAAAAGAAGATAAGTAATAAAAACAATGAAAAACAAACAGAAATTCAGAATAAACACAGATTTATTTTTAAAAAAAAAAGCTTATACACAAATCATTGTCAACAGTAATTTTATCGTCATAGTAACAGTAATTTTATCGTTATAGTGTATCTAAATCAAAGCAGGACACATAATCTACCTCAAATCTTCATTAAGCTACCTCAAATCTTCATTAAATACAAAACTTCAACTTACTTTAAAACAAATATACATATGCATAGATATAGCAATATTTAAAATAAATAAATATAAAATGATATGAGGAATAAGATAAAGAAAAAACATTATTGTTTTTGTGCAACCATAATTTATGCAATGGTTGTAATAAACTTCTCCTCAGAATCGCGTTTATTATTACCGGCGTTTTAATGAGGCTTAGCACCAATACCTAGTTTATCCTGTAGGATAAATGTGATTGTCATTGCCATTTATGCTTTAACCCACAATTCAAGATAAAGCATAAATGATATATACACTAATGTTTAAAAAGACATATATACATGTGTATATACAAATATCATTGTTTGTATATGTTCACATATCATTGTGTTGAGAAGTCATTTTATAAATTATTTTGATGATGAAGAAAACAAACATAAATTAGGCAATGAAAAACAATAAAAATAATGTGAAGGAGTTATTTATTTAAAGATAATTCAAGCTGCTGCTATAAAGTGTAAAGTTTTATTTAAATTTTCTTCTATTAATTAAATTTCTTTGAATCAAAAGTTTATTTACTTTTTTACAAGAATCAAAAACATTTTATATACCTTTATATATTTAAGAATAACAATGTTTTAATTTTCAAATATTCTGGTATAACATTTTGTAATAAGAGTGATTAATGCTTTACTGACAATAATCTTTCTTTGTTCAATACTTTTTTAAGGCTTAGAAAATAAAAATAATTATTTGAAACCACGTAACAAAATTTTAAAGACTTTTTATTTAGTGCTAAAGTCAATTGATTTATTGGTATATTTTTTATTAATAATAGGTAATAATTAATGTAACATAACTGTGTTATTTTACAGATTGCCCAGACCAATCAGAGTTTAATGATTTTTATGAAGAAATAAACCTGATGAAAGAAATTGGATATCATAAGAATATTATTAATATGATTGGATGCTCAACAAATAAGAAACCGTTATGTTTAATTGTTGAGTTAATGGAAAATGGAGACTTGTTAAGTTTTCTGAGAAAGAGACGCACTAAAGTAAGTACAGAATAACTTTAAAGTTGTTTTTTTTAAAGAAAAATTTATTTAAATAAGAAATTAATTGAATTAGTTTGTAAATAAAATTGACTTTATAATTACATAACAAGCCTTTAACTGTTTCAACAACTATTATACAATGCTACCATTGTAATATACATTATGCATAACTGTATAATATTGAATCTATATTTAAAATTTGCTTTTTTTTTGAGCCAAAATCAGAACAAACAGTACACAGCAGCCTATAGGGTGGCATAAATTGAGTTTTTTGTGTGTGTGTTTTTTTTTATGAAGTGAGTTCAAATGCTAAGGCATTCAACATGTGTTAAAACGTAATAAATTTTAAAAATATCAGTTATGAGGTAATTAGGTACCAAGTTATAATTTTTATAGAAAAGTGAGGTTCAAGAAAATATTTATGGGTGATGTTCAGACCAATTTATATAGAATTACTAAAATATTTTCCCAGACATATATACATTGATAGAAAGGTTTAGAGACTAGTTTTAAATAGTTTAAGTTTTTTTAAAAAAAATTGAAATTGTGAAAATAGGATCAAAATATGAAAAAATATTGAAAAATAATGTAGTATTTAAACTTTAGTGGAACTGGAACACTGATTTTTTTACAATTGTTTACAATCTCAATTGATATACAACTATTTACACGGTGATTTCAATTGATTTACAATTATTTTCAAGGTGGTTTCAGCATTTGTTGATTTTTTCTAAAAAATCTAGTAAAAGATATAGCCACACCATTTTGCAAATTTTTAAGTAATTGATTTTTAGTAATGCAAGGTCACTTGTTGTAAAAACTCCAACTTTAAGTATGTCTGTTCTTACAACAAATGATAATGCTTTGCTTAAAATAAAGTGATTGGAGCCTGGGAATAAAATATCCCAACAGATTTATTGTTGCTCTGATGCAAAGGCAATAAGTTAATAAAATAATTAAATTTACTATTATATTCTAGATTCCAATTCATAGAAAGGTTTTTAATTTAATCGAATTAACTTTAGTCATTCAAAAGTTATAAGCCTATCAAATTTACAATTTTCTCATTTTGATGGGGTGAAAACTTGATTTGAAAAGATGATTCGAATCAAAAAACAGTTTTGAAACAACTGTTTTGAAGAAAAAAATTTCCAAAGGTTGTGAAGAATTAATATTGAGTTCTTGGGGACAAGATGGAGCTTCTGAAAACTCTAAATATCATTAGAAAATGGATTGCGTCGATGATAGTGATTCAGATTTAATAACATTAGCATCAACACCATTGTCGCTAACAATTTACAATAGAACAAAAACATTAATGTGGCTAGTTAACCAAAGTTAATTTTACACCTCCAAGTGTGTTGATCTATCTACACAGAGTTTGCACAAAAAACAAAAAACAGTGAGACTATCCTTAAAATATATAGAGAAAGAAATATCAATTTGGAAAGAATTGATTGGCCATATGACCAATCAATTCTTGATTGGTCATATGGCCAATCAAGAATTGATTGGTCAACCATATTGATGGCCAACCATATTGATTTATTGGATTTTTAATTTTTTTAAGTATGACAAAGTTATAGCAATAATTGCAAAGTTATAGCAATAATTGCAGACACTTTATCTTTGAATCCCACCCAAAAGTGAACAAAGGTTTGTACAAGTTTCAGGTTTTTACAAGTTTTTTAAATAATTAAAGTTATTAAAATTATTTTTTGTAAAAACTATGTTTTGTAAATAATTAAATAAATTTATATGGACTTTTCTGCTATTGCATGTTTAATTGAATTTTTCTTTTTAAATGATTTTACATTATTACTTTTGTTGTCATTTTTATTATAGTATTTTTTTCTGTTAAATCATAAACGTAACAATAAAAGTTATGATCAGCGCGTTTTTTTTAATATTAAAAATTTCTGCGCATTTATATCTGGTTGGTGCTGTGATACTCTTTTCCATTTACAAGACTTACAAGATAAAAATTTAACAGTATTTTATATTTCTGATTACACTTATGTGAGTTTTTGTTTGTATTATATACATTAATATATATTTTATATACAAATAACATCTATCAACATATATCAATTTGCTCAAAACTCAATCATCATTGAAAGTCTTATTAAAATTAGTTAAGATGTAATTAAAATATGTTATATAATTGTTATTTAACTTTCGTTTTTGTTAAGCAAGATTTGTTAGAAAGAAATTTAAAAAAAAGTTAAATTAAACCTTTTATTTTTAGATTTTTTTAGATTTTTATACTTTTATATTTTTTTAGATTTTTTTAGAACAGCAGTTCGTGTTTCAAGTTTAGGGTTAAAAAATGTATATATATATATATATTTATTATATAACAACTTTCTCGATTGTAATGGACTTTGTGTGTTTTGTTCTGGATTGTGTAAGGTTTCCCCTCTGGAGTCTTTAGTAGGTGAATTTGTTAAAAAAAGCATAAATTTATGCAATTATGAGTTCATAAATATGATTAGAATATTGACTTTATATCGCAAATTTGATAACCAGATGGTCTGGTCTGGTGTTTCATATTATCTCTATTATTGTTTAAAATAGGTTTAAGTATAAAATCCTGTATACAAAAAATTTGCTGCAATAATTAAAAAAACTAAACCTCTAATTATTAAATAAAAATGCTCAGTCTGCTCATGTAGGTTTATAAATACATCATGTTTTACTTTTAAATATAACTTTTCAGCTTTGCGCATCAAAGGTTGAAGGAGAGACTGCCGGAAGCTTGAAATATACACAAAGCTATCAACAATTTCTCGAGGTTTTTTGTTTTATTTTTTGTTAATAATTTTTTATGGTGCTTTGGATGTGCATAAATAATTTATTTTTTAAGATGTTGATGTCAACCCCATCCCTTTCTTTTTATCTATTTATGAAAAAATTGCAAGTAGCACCCTCCAACTTTTCTCCAACATTTGCATTTAAATTTTGTTTTTATTTGAGTTCTACAAAATGAATTTCATGTAATAAACTTTGTATAGACGACAACAAATGAGAACTTATCATCAGGAGTTATGTCAAAAGAATTTCTTTCAGATGAAATTATAACACCAGAAGATTTACTAAGTATTGCCTGGCAAGTGGCATCAGGAATGGTAAAGTTTTTTTAGATTGTGTATAGTTAACTTATTAATTTTTCTGTCTTCCTTTTTTTTTCTTTTTTTTTTCTTCTTTTTTTTAATTTTCTTTTTATATAATATATAATAAACTTCTTCTTTTTTTTTAATTTTCAAATATGTAAGGAATATCTTTCATGCATCAATCTCGTACACCGTGATCTCGCTGCAAGAAATGTTTTGGTTGGTTCAAAAAAAATTGTCAAAATTTCTGATTTTGGTCTAACACGTAAGGTCAATGATAATTTACAGTACATGAGTAGCAAAAATCGTCGTTTACCGATCAAGTGGATGGCCGTGGAAGCCATATTCGACCAAACGTTCACTACATACAGTGATGTGTAAATTTTAATTCTAACCAAATGTGTTTTAGTTCTATTGTTTTAGTTTTATTACAAATTTTATTTCGATTTAAAAAATAAATTATTTTATATTTATGTTTTGTTGCGTTTACTTTTTTTAAATTATTTGTTTAATAAAAGAGTTATTTTAGGTGGGCGTATGGTGTTGTTTTATTTGAAATTGTTACACTAGGTAATTTTAAGCCTTCAGCAATTAGATCAACTCATTTTGTATTTAATTTTTTTATTGATGTTTTTACTTTGTTTTACAAGGTGGTACCCCCTATCCAACAATAAATAATCGTGAACTTCTAACTCTTTTAAAGTCTGGCTACAGAATGGATCAACCAGAAAACTGTTCTGAGTTAATGTAATTTCTATTTAAATTTTATCTTCTATTTTAAAATACTTATTCACCTCGAATAATTTATTACATATATATTTTAGGTACAATATAATGTTGCAATGTTGGAATGAAGATCCATTAAAACGACCTACTTTTACCGAGTTACGTGAACATTTTGATAAAATTATATCTGAAGGTGATTGTTATTTTAACTTTGAATTGAACGAAAATAATATCTACTATACAGCTGCGTCCTTTAACAGTTTCTCGTCTAAAACAGAAAATGAAGAACTCGAAAATGAAATTTTCCAAAAACCTATTCACGTTCAATCAATAAAAAAAATTAAAGAACTAAACGATAAACCGTTAAACATAAGATACACTTATCCCGATTCCTTGAAACCTGCGCTCCTAGGTTTTAGTAATTATGCCTTTAATGATGTAATATCAGAAATTTAATGATGTAATTCATTATTATTTTATTTAAAAATTATACATGTACTTAAGAATAATGAAACTTTAGGTTTATATATAAAAATTTTATATTTAAAATATATTATTATTCATAAGACGCTGAAAGCAAAACGAGGAAAAAGTGATTATTTTGCAGTTTTTCAAAATAAACATTAGAGTATTAATTTTTTTTTTTCATAACCCAATGCTTATGTTTTACAATTAGGTGTACTTCGGTATTAGGTGTACTCGGTGCTTGTAATTCAATTATTGTTGAAATTTGATGACTCGTGCTCAAACGTAAAGAATGCTAATTTTTTTAAAAAAATAGATCATCATTCAAGAACCATTATTTCCTTGTTGAATCTTATTTATTTCATTTTTTTTTTTTTTTTTAATTTTTGTTTTAATGGCCCAAAAAAGACTTAATGGTCTTCTAACAAAGCACCGCGGAAGACCATTTAACTGAAAAGTTCACACCTTCCTTATCAATGACACAAAATATGCTTAGAGCACGCTTCGAACTCTGGATCTCTTGCTTCTTAAGCGAACGCTATTACCACTGCGCCACGGTCGTATTAACCCGTACTACTTACATTAAAAACATATTAAAACAATGTAAATTGGGATAAAATACAACTGAATATGCAAAGTTACATACAAATTTTAAAATTGTTTTTCATTTTAAATTTCTGATGCGAAGCACCATTATTCCCAGTTAACTAAATTTCGTATTTTATCTCAGGTAAAGACTCTATAGAATTAGAAAATCTTTATCAGTACCATTAACAAAAATGAGTCAAACATTCCATCTTTAATTCTTGGTCTTATTATCTCGCCCGAGGATAAAGCAGAACTATTTACAAAAACTCTTTTTCTAATTTACTTGTTTATTTACTTGTTTTTCTTTAATTTTTATTTTATTTCGTAATTTTGAAAATAATTTGTATTAAGAACGGTATATACTTTTAATATTGAATTTAATTTTGTAATGAAAAAAAAAAATATATATATATATATATATATATATATATATATATATATATATATATATATATATATATATATATATATATATATATATATATATATATATATATATATATATATATATATATATATATATTATTATTATTAAATAAAAAAAAAAAAAAAAAAATACAAAAAAAAAATTTGATGTATGTGACTGGATGTATCTGCAAACATTGTATGTATGATACTTTTGGATTTTTGTCGGCGATAGCGTTAACGTAAATGCACCAACATTTGATAATTATGGCTTCTCACACAATGACACCATCATTTGGCTATCTAAATTCTTCTACACAATCTTTTGGACAATCTTGAAGTGCATTTGGATGTACCTAGTGCAATCATATTCTTATTATTTTCGTTTATTTATTAATTAATTAACAATTAAGATCAGTGTAACTGATAGATTTGAGTAACAAGAATCAGTGATCGAGTCAGATGCGAGACGTATTTATTTATTAAGAATACTATGATATTATTGTTTTCACTTGAATCATCCGGTTTAGAAGAATTAGTACTTTAATTCCAGCCATAAAGACCATAACTTAAAAAAGTTAAAAACTTGTGTTTATTTATTTTTGTTTTTCCTAAAATCTAAACTAAGATCAAAGTTCTTCAACAGCGGTTTTCAGTGACAAGACCTGTATGATCTTTTTTGAGTATCCGCGTTCTTTATCTTAATTCTTTATTTTTTTGTAACGATTTTTTTGCATGTAAATTTTTCTTATTATATATTTGTAAATATTGTATTAAATAATGTAATATAGAACAAAAAAAAAAAAAAAAAAAAAAAATTGACTTTTAAATATAACGGCCATACTCTTTCTGCTATTCCAGTTAAAAAGATTATCCCATTGTTAGCCATTCAAATCACTCCAGCTTCCGTTTCTAAAGTCATCTCTCAACTAAACTCTTCTTCTTGTGGTCTAGACAATATTTATGTCATAGTTTTGCAAAAGTGTTATCTAGAAGTCTCTTTAATTCTCTCTAAACTATTTAATAACTGCTTCATAAATCTTGTTACTTTTCTGCAGGTAAATGACATCTTCCAAGTTTTCTGCAGGTCACATCTGTGGTTGCAAATTTAAAAACTCTGGAGAACTGTTTAACCCCTATAACTATTGTCTGATCAGTCTTCTCTCTATTATTAGTATTATAATCAAAATGGTTTTCAATCCTATACGGCTGAATTGCTTACTGCAACAAATATCTAATATTGCTAATCCTATATTAATAAAGTTGTTGATATATGATGTTGATATATTGATGAATGGCTTTTACTGAGTCTTCTAGTTTTTTTTTGATCATTCAGACTCATGGAAATCATATATGCAAAGTTATTATCTGCTAAGGTTACTTCTCTTTATTGCTAAGGTTACTTCTCTTTATTGCTAAGGTTACTTCTCTTTATTGCTAAGGTTACTTCTCTTTATTGCTAAGGTTACTTCTCTTTATTGTGCTTGCCATGATTTTACTCCTGATTCTATTTTTTACCTCTAAACATCTCTATTTAACTCCTGTATAGAACACTGTTATCATATTTGGTCTGGTTTGTCTAATGATGCTATTTCTCTTCTAGAAAAAATTAAAAACTTATTAAAAATGTTGTTAGACCGGTCAAGCTTAAGCTTCTCCCTCATTGTTGTAAAGTCCTCTTGTTTGTCTACCAACATTTCTACTTTAATATATCTATTAAAGTGGATTGATGAAGTCATTGTACTTTAGGTGATGCTAAAATAAATCCGTTTTTAATTTTAAAAGTAAAATCTGGTTGGGGAGGACATAAGGACTTTCTAGACGTTAATTCTTGATAGTAATTTGTTCCTGCTTATAGCTATTTTTTTACAGTTTTTTTTTTTTCATGTTTGTTTTGAGTGGGATCACTAAATCCTTTTCGTAACTGATAATAATTTCCAAGCGCATCATAATGAACACATTGCTTTTTATTTTAGCCTATACACAAACACTACACACTAAAGGCATAAAAACAGTTTTTGCCAGACTTGCAGTTATAGCTGTATAAAAATTATACTATTGGAATGGAAATTAAATTTATATTGAAATAATTTAAAATATATATTAAAATATATATAAAAATAATTTAAATGAAAAAAATACAACTTTATGATGGAACTAAAAGTTTCATGCATTCGGCAATTATCAGCCATATTATTCAAATAAAAAATAAAAACCGTTATAAATTTTAAAAGACTTTTAAAAGAATTCAATTTTAAATTTAAATTTAAATTAAATTTAATTTAATTTAAATTTAATTTAAATTTAATTTAAATTTAATTTAAATTTAATTTAAATTTAATTTAAACTTAATGTAATTTAATTTAAACTTAATTTAAATTTAATTTAAAACTTAATTTAAATTTAATTTAAATTTAATTTAAAGTTAATTTAAATTTAATTTAAATTTAATTTAAATTTAATTTAAATTTAATTTAAAGTTAATTTAAATTTAATTTAAATTTAATTTAAATTTAATTTAAATTTAATTTAAATTTAATTTAAATTTAATTTAAATTTAATTTAAATTTAATTTAAATTTAATTTAAATTTAATTTAAATCTAATTTAAATTTAATTTAAATTTAATTTAAATTTAATTTAAATTTAATTTAAATTTAATTTAAATTTAATTTAAATTTAATTTAAATTTAATTTAAATTTAATTTAGATTTAATTTAAATTTAATTTAAATTTAATTTAAATTTAATTTAAAGTTAATTTAAATTTAATTTAAATTTAATTTAAATTTAATTTAAATTTAATTTAAAGTTAATTTAAATTTAATTTAAATTTAATTTAAATTTAATTTAAATTTAATTTAAATTTAATTTAAATTTAATTTAAATTTAATTTAAATTTAATTTAAATTTAATTTAAATTTAATTTAAATCTAATTTAAATTTAATTTAAATTTAATTTAAATTTAATTTAAATTTAATTTAAATTTAATTTAAATTTAATTTAAATTTAATTTAAATTTAATTTAGATTTAATTTAAATTTAATTTAAATTTAATTTAAATTTAATTTAAATTTAATTTAAATTAAATTTAATTTAATTTAAATTTAATTTAAATTTAATTTAAATTTAATTTAAATTTAATTTAAATTTAATTTAAATTTAATTTAAATTTAATTTAAATTTAATTTAAACTTAATGTAATTTAATTTAAACTTAATTTAAATTTAATTTAAAACTTAATTTAAATTTAATTTAAATTTAATTTAAAGTTAATTTAAATTTAATTTAAATTTAATTTAAATTTAATTTAAATTTAATTTAAAGTTAATTTAAATTTAATTTAAATTTAATTTAAATTTAATTTAAATTTAATTTAAATTTAATTTAAATTTAATTTAAATTTAATTTAAATTTAATTTAAATTTAATTTAAATTTAATTTAAATTTAATTTAAATCTAATTTAAATTTAATTTAAATTTAATTTAAATTTAATTTAAATTTAATTTAAATTTAATTTAAATTTAATTTAAATTTAATTTAAATTTAATTTAGATTTAATTTAAATTTAATTTAAATTTAATTTAAATTTAATTTAAATTTAATTTAAATTTAATTTAAATTTAATTTAAATTTAATTTAAATTTAATTTAAATTTAATTTAAATTTAATTTAAATTTAATTTAAACTTAAATTTAAATTTAAATTTAAATTTAAATTTAATTTAAATTTAATTTTGTAGATGGGTTAAAAGATTGGCATCTTTTAATTATGTTCCACATAATTATAGGCATGTTAACCGCGTCTTTAAGTTTCCAGATTTCATTGGAAAGTTCCGTATCATTCCTATATGATATACATTATCAAAAGACGAGTGCAATAAGTTATTAATGAACGCCACTACATCTAATTATAAAAATACCAACCCTATAATAAAAGATCGCATTAATAAAGAATGTGTTATAAGAACTATATGAGAACATATGACCAAGTTTGGACTAAAAAATCAGGTGGTTTGTTTGATGTTACCATGGGTGCATTTGATGGAGCG